CATGAGTTGAAATGTATATTAAAAGATTCTCAATAAGTAAAAAATTAAATTTATTTCTCAAATATGCCATGCTGTAATATGTGTTCAGAAAATTCTCAGTGCATTGAAAGTTTTCTTAGACTAAATGGATGTATATTTCGAGTTTTTTCAACGTTCTTTCCAAGTATTTTCTTATAAAATCAGATATCAAAATACATTGTGAACAATTCACCAAAAATAATGAACATAAGGCGTGATTATTAGTCATTCGATTTCTCATTGTACGGTTGAAGATTATAAATCTGTCATCTAATTTGAGATTAGTGAGTTTTTCGTTGAGAGAATTATGTCGGACCGCTGGCATTCTTGTTTTAATCGCATCCTTTTGATAGGCTAGAGGTAACTTGTTAGAATTGTGTGTCTCAAAAGACAAAATTTGCTTTATCAGGTTCATTTCAGAAATAAGGTCTCAAGTTGCTGGAAAATATGCGTGCACTACCTACGAAACGCTTCGAGAAGATACACATTCGAATTGGAAGCACGCTCTCTGCGCACAAAATAAAGTACAGCGCAACGCAACTTTTCTTGTTATCTTCATCTCGAATCGAACAATGGCGTAATGTTTTTACCTGCGTTTCCAACGAACAAAGAGTGCCGCTCCCCGTTTTCCGAGTGGTGATGAATGAAACCTCAAGGAAAAACGAAATTTTCTCTCTTTCTCTTTCCCCGCAGTGTCTTTCTGCTCGCGGTGTCCGTCTAAAAATTAAAAATCTTTCACGGTTGTTTAAGCCTGTTTATGGCGAGGCTTGTTTTACTGTCGAAAATCACGGTTCACAGGAAGTTTTGAGACAGCACAGTGTGGTTCCCAATCGGGTGTCAACCCAAGAAAATGTAATTTGTTTACCTATTCTATCTGGGTCGGAATCGTGATGAGTGTTAATTTTCAGTTAAACGTTTGCCTGGAATTTTTGTTAGCGCTGAAGATAGACGTAAAATTCAATTTTAGATTACAATATTGGATATTTTTTTTTGTTTTCCTAGCGGATTATTAGTTGAATATTGTTATCATGAGTGTTTTTCCTTTAGCATACGCGTTAAGTATTTGGATATGTCCTTAATTTTCATAGGTTACTCAACATAATACAAATATATCAGAAAAAGTTACCTATTACACAGAATACGAAGAAAAATATTTGATCAGTATCTTACAATGCTTCTAACCTTAATAATTGAGAGGAAACTGTAAAAGAATATGAAACTCACATATATAGGAATGCATCAAATAAGAGTATACTACTACGTGTATATGGGAACACAATGCAATACATATAAATTTGATAATAATATAACAATAAAATATATATTTGTCAATCAATACATTGTTGAAAAAATCTTAATAATAGAAAGTAACTAAATAATTCGTACAAAACACAACAAAGAATGCGGAACACGAAAAATTGCACTATAGGCCCTTTCTAAAGCCAACGTTCGTGTACTCTTCACACCTCTGAGAGAACAAGGATTTACTCTCTCTGAGGCGGGAGATTTGGCCTTCAAATCGCCATCATCTGAAGCGTGGGTTGGCAGCGACGCGGCTCGCGGCAGGAAACGCATGGAACACCGATGGGCGCTGCGACGCGCGGGTTATCAGTGGGAAACGGGGCGGGGAGGAGCGGTGAGAGGTGGGCCGGGCGGGACACGGCGGGATTGGGTGGGTCGACGACGCCCAGGCCCGCAGACGCTTTCTTTGTCGCAACGGAAGCTCCGCCGCGGCACGTCGCGACGCTCGTGGGCGTCGGGCGTCGACCGGTCGGCCGCTTGGCGTCTGGTGGCCGCAGCCCGCAGATAGTGTTTTGTTGCGCTAACGCAGACGCGAGTCGCGCCCGCCGCCACCCCCAACGCGGATGCCGGCGAAAGAAAGGCGAAGCCGCCGCTGCCACCGCCGCCGCCGCCTCCGCCGCAGGAGCTGGAGTGGCGCCGCGACGCCGCGAGCCTCTCGAACAGCCCTGCGCCCCGGGCGACCGCCTCCTGCGCGAGAGGCCCCGAGAGCAAAGAGCGAGCTAAGGGCCTTCTTTGAGAGGCTCCCATGGCCCGGGGGGGCTCTCTGAGGGCTGTCAGCGACGTTTGTTTGAGTCCCTTGCGCAAAAGAGGGTTGCGTTTCTGAACGAAAACCGGGCCCGCTATTTCGTTATATTTTGTTTTGCTGGCGTGAGAATATTGCGACTTCTTCAACTCCCATTTCTCTCTTCCTTTTTCTTCTTTAACGTTCCATTCTTTCGTTACCTGCATTCATATAATCATTTGTTTTTTTTCTATTTATGTTGTAACAAAACATCCCCAGTAGGCTACACAATTGAAAAATAGGTATTTATCCACATTCTTCGATTGCCAACTATTACGCAAAATAGATTATTTTACCCTAAATGTATGTAAATCCCAACACAAACAGCACTAACCTACTGTAGTAGTGCTAATAAATATGGTTAATTCCACCAAGTTTCTTTTTCTCTATTACGGTTTTGTCTCTTTTCTCATACCTACAAGTTTGTATAATAATTATAAATATATTTTTCACGTTTTCATTATATTTCATCTTTCACGTCTCCATTTCTTTTCTGTAAAGTGAATCTTTGGAATAAAAAATGGTAACAGGGTTGCTTCTAGTCGTGTCACCAAAGTGCAGAAATAGTTAGATATTTCCGTACTGAATGTGAAGAATTGCAGTACCAGCAGCAATTGGTATGCTGTGGTTAAAAGGGGTAATCCTTTCTTGTCCTCAAAGTTGGTAATTCTCAATGTTTCCGAAGAAACATGATCCCGTTGTTCAAATTCGCAAGAAATAATAATAGTCGCCAAAATAGCAATTTAGCATGTAAGTTATTCGACTCGACCAATAACGAAATAAACATTTATCTTTGCGATAGATTATTCACTGCTACTGACATTTCTTAACTTTGATTTTGAACATTTGTTATTATTAGTATATTATGATAATTTAAAATACGCTCTTGTGATGTTGCTTATTATTTCTTAAATATTATACATAATTAGTTAGGTGCAATATTTCATAACAAAAAGGATCTCAAATATGTAATATAAATCAGAGGTAAATTCTTCTTGCAAGCAGGGTTCCAAATGTACCTTTATAAATCGACTATGCAAAGGATAAATTTCCAGGACGTAATTTATTTGATATGATAAAAACTATATTTTATCAATTTTATTCTTTTTAGTGCTGTTTGTGGCCAATTTTAATGTTCTTACATTTCCCATTCTAATGTTTTTATTTCACTACTTTAATGTTGATTAACAATTCGCCTTTCCCAGAACTGTCAAAGACCCGCGTCCTTTGTGCAAATTTTATGTATTTCTTACACACTGCTATTCGTAATGGTTACATTTTGAGTAAATACTCAAGAACCTAGAGAGGAACATCTCGACACACATTTCAACATTGAGATCAAAAACGTCCTTTGAAGGTCTCATAATATTTTCTCTTTCCTCATTTTTACTCAGCAAGTTATTCCGTTTCAATATATCTCTCAGTCGGCATGAAGTACAGTACAATAGTTCCCACATGGTACACGCGTGCTAAAATAAAAAAAAATACGAATAGCCTAGCAAAAATTTCGATGAAGAAAACTCGAGAGATGTGCGTCACACTCGTACGGTTCCCAGCGCTGCTCAGTAATTAGTTTCGTCATGCTTCCGAGGAATGCTTCTCAATGCCACCTTTTTATATATTTTTCCATGTGCCACCTCCGCACCCCTCGCCCGGCGCCGCCCACACGTCCAACGATAATTTCGTCCGGCCGCCCGAGAGCAAAGCGCGTCTCAGATGAGGCCGCGGTTTGCGCGGCGGCAACCTGGAACAGCACCGCATGCGACGAGCCCCGTAAAAAGCGCGGGAAGTGCCGGGGAAGTGCGCGGGACGAGGAGGGCCTCCTCCGCCGCCCGCAGGGCACGCCTCTGCGCCGCGTTCTTCCTTCAATTAAAGCGCCAAGGATATTTTTTCAACAAATGATTAATTCGAATTTTTGTTAATATGATCTTTTTTCTCCTCTCCTCTTCAACACATTCCAATGAAACGCGTTATTCCTGTTGTGTTTATAAAAATACGCCTAGCAAGCGTGCATGTTCCGCAGCGGGCGAAAAAAACGCCTAGTGGAGCCATCTACTGTCGACTTCTCCAATTAGCTCGTAAAAAAGCGTCGCGGCGCGCGGGTGCCAGCGAGGCGTCGAGGGGGGAGCGGCGCAGGTGGCCAATGAGGGCCCGGCGTCGTTACCTTGGAAACTGCGTCCACGTCGCGTGTTGTACGGGGGGCCGAGGGGTCGCGGCGGCGGCGGAAGCGGCGGCGGTGGCGACGGCGGCGGCGGCGGTGGAGGCGCGATGTTAGGGCCGGCGCGTTGAAATTGGCCTTTAAAGTGCGCTCCCAGCCATAATGCCCGTCTCTGCCGCCCGCGGCTCCCTCGCCTCCCTGCACCGCGCTCCGCCGCCAGCCCCACCCTGCGTCCTGACGCCCGCCGCCGCCGCCCGAAAGACAGCGTGCGGACCCGTCTCGCCGCGGAGACTCCTACCCCGCGCGGATTCCTCCTAGAGACCGGTTTCTCCGTCTCCCCTTTACGTCGGTGAGCTTTGAGGAGTAGTCGCGGGTCGACCCTAGACGACCCTTGGGCATCCCCGGAAGAGTCACCGCGTAGGTGACCTGGCGACCCCGCGCACGCCGATGCCACCGCCGGTCGTGCGGCCTCGCACGCCGCGCCTGGTCCACTGCGTTCCGCAGCGCGGCGATGGCGGGCGGATCGGCGGCGGTCGAAGGCGAGCGGCAAGCAATGAGAACGGCTGCCGGGCGCGGCGCAATCTGGGCGGGCCATTAGTCAGTAACCCGCGGCCAAGGAAGCCGGCCAATTTTTCTTTATTTTAATAACATGCGAAGGTGTTTTATTTCGAAAGGCGGGAATATGCCTGGCGGGAGAATCGGGCCTTCTGATGGAGATTTTATGCAAAGTAAGGCGAGGCGATGGCGATGGCGAGGCGAGGCGAGGCGCCGCGGAAAGGGCGGTCGGCCGCGCTTCTCGATAAAATTTGCCGGACCGGCGGCGCGGAGGCGGCCGGCGGCGCGGCCGCGCCGCCCCACCGCCTCCGCTCCGCCTCCGCCGTCAGCTACCGCGCCGCCACCGGCCCGGAACGGAGAAGGCGCGGGCGAGGGCTGGAGCGAGGGGCGACGGGAGGTTGGTGCGGTTGGCGGTGCCGCGCGAGGCCGCCCTCCAAGAGCGGGGTTCGCCGGGGCCTGAAGATGCCGGTCGCCCGCCACCTAGGAGGCGAAGGGGCGTCTGCGGTCGCCGCGGGGGCCGCGGGGATCGCAGGGGCTGGCGCGGAGCTGCGGACGAATCTCCTCCGGCCGCCGCCGCCTGCCCGCCACACCGCGCCACCGACCGCCGCGGCTGTATTGAGCTCGAGCGGCTCCGACCGCTGTCTTACGGCCCACGCGGCTGCGCCAGCCCTGCCTCCCACCCCTCTCCTCGGCCCCCGGCCTGGCCCTTCACACGCTAGAGCGATGTGGCTCGCTCGCCTCCGTTGCCAACGACGCCCACTGGCTTCTTCCATTTCACAACATTAAAATCTTATTTGCTTGCTTATTCGTTCGTTTACTAAATAATTTACTTATTTATGTGTTCGAAATGGTGCCGTATCAGCGCTCCTCATTTCCGTTGCTTCCAGGAACTCGGTGAGAGAGTGAGCGCCTCCGGTATTAAGAAGCCACGACATTCATAATCCGCATTTTATGTGCGTAATTTCAAACGCCTCGTTGTGGCCACCCTTAGGCAACTGACGTACACAATCGCATACTTCTCTTTTCTCTTCTTACTTGATGTACTGCCTCTTTAGTCACGGAGGACTAGCTCACCCTACAGAATCTTACAAGAAAAATATTTGATGCTATATTTAACCGTTATTAGAAACATTGAACTTTTCTTCAAATATGATTGTAACTTTGATTTATATCTATTTTCAAGAGAATTGTAGTGAAACATTAAAAAATGGGCGTAATCTGTAAATGTTGAAAATTTACATTTGAGTTATAGAAAGATTAAATATTACTAGATTATACAACCTACGAAATTAAATCATTGACAATAATGTAATAAGTGTACCTCTTAAGTACATCTTGAGTAATTTTTGATATTATCCATTAGATACTTTTAAGTAAATTTTATACATATATCAATGAAATTTTAAACTTGCTTATGTTATATATAAATATATCTACATTAAGTTGTATTTAAAACTATTATACAAGTTTCCGAATTCTAGAAAACATTTCTCTTGATATTTTATTACATTTGACAAAAAATAAATCCCTGAAAATTGAAAGACCAAAAATTTGAATGACATTTGTTAATAATTGTTACTAAATTCTATTTTTATAATTTTTTGTCTTCTTGTTCTAATGATTTGCATTTACTTATGTGATTATTTTAGCACACCCAAGAATATGATTCAATGTGACCCTGAACACATACGATTACATTGTTGAAACTTGAAAGCTTGTATTATGATATTACATAGATCGTATTTATAACTAATATTAATTTGTTACAATAGCAGCATGAGTAAATATCTTAAACCACTTTGAATATTAAAATTTCAAGAAATACAAATAGGACATTGTTTTTAATGATTTTAGAGGGTTTCTTTTTGTTAATGAGAAAGGACCTCGGACAATCACAAAACTAAGTTGTTGTATGGAATCAATTTTTTCTATTCTGTATTGTACTCGATGTATATATGTAGTGTATATTACTCACGGTGGATCATTAATCGGTACTCATGTCAATGTCAAGAGGGTCAAAATTAGAAGTGTCTTGTAAAACTGATATTAATTCTAAATATATTAATCCCTTTAGACTCTTCCACATTTTCAAAACGCTTTATATTTTGTGTTTTTTAGTAGCTAGTGTTAGTGTTCATAAGAATGTAGCTATAATATTGTTTTAACTAGAGACATTTCGTTTATTGCTTTCGATGTTTCTTACTAACAGAAGCAAACGTTCAATAACATCATCTTAACCTCAACCGATTTTTATGTTTTTACAATGTCAATCAGTATGATGATTGATAAGGGGTCCAAATAAATAACAAATAGTCGAGTACTCTACACTAGCTCTCCGACTGTACGCCGGATTTCCCCCACGTATCACTCTCCGATGGATCTGATTTCAGCTGTAAGGACTGATCGACTTAACTTTGTTAGCACATTCAATTATTTTATGCTTATGCGCCTCCTAATATTAGTACTTTTCAGGTAGTTTGGAAGTACCTGTTAATTTTCGAAAAATATGTAAACAAGATGTTTTCTAAAAATGACTCCACATTATTTCTTATAATCTGTTGTACAGATAAAGAACAATGAGCCGAATCATTTGGCAGAACTAATTTTATTTAAACCTTTGAATTTTTTAAAATTAAACCAAATTCTATATGAAGTTTTTTCTCGTAGTAAAGAGACTTTGCAATAAAGGTACAATAGTGAAATCTGCGTGGACACGTCTCATGAACCAGCCGACGAACAATTTGCCTGGTCCAACGGGAAAACACTGTTTTGTCAGACCCTCTCCGTAGAGGACACCACTCATGAGTTGATATTTACTGTATTGTAGAATGTTATAGAGAGGTCTCATAGTATTACTTATTCCAAAGACACTGAAAAGTGAAAAATAAGAAACCATTACTAATTGTAAAGCCGACATCAAACTATAAAAAGTATTTAAAAGAAATAACTAATTAACACCCATTCAGCCTTTCTATTCGGCAATGACATGACGAATATTGAATTAAATGAAATTCTTGCCGAATCGAAAAATTAAAAATATTTTCATATTCTTTGTTACGGTTTCCCTCATCCTGTTTTTGCAGTATCTACTTTCTTTCACTCTTTAAAGAATATTATACAATTAATATGATTCTAAATACCCTTGTTGAATGGCCTTTAAGGGATTGTAATTTGTTCTCTAACATTAATGAAATCTTAAGAAATTTACTTGTATGTCACGACCATGTGAACGAACATTAGTAGCACAGGAGAAACGATTCAAAGAATCGAACGCAGAAGACATGAGTTCTGTTACTGAATACTTGATGTTCTCAGTGCTCTTGTAACGAATTGCCACACGTAGTAGTATATTCAAAGGATGTAAACAAATTGTCATTTCATTTTTAAAATAGTTTCGATATTGCGTGAAGATGGGTTGATGCTGAATCAAAATTATTCATTACATAACTGAAATAAATATTTTATGCTTCATTACTTACAAATTATCTAGTAAGCAGTATCTTAAATCCCGCTAAGCTTACCGTCAATGCGTGCAATATATCAGAGAAATTATGTTGTTGATCTGTACAGGTAGTGAAGTAAGCAGAGTCTTCGAATTCTTTCAAGATGTATTCTCTAGTAGTATAAAAGGAAAACATTGTCAACACATTACTGTTTTATTATTCAGAGCTTGCCTTATTTAAATTCGACCACAACACTTCTAAATGATGTCAGTACCAACTAAAATTGTTAAATTGAGTTTATTTTTAGACCTCATGCCTCAAGAGAACCCATCAATTGCTTTCCAATAAATTTAATAATAATAATAATAATAATAATAATAATAATAATAATAATGATAATGATAATAATAAGGAATTCAAGCCATATTTTACTCCACAAAGAATATTTTTTTCCAATTTTTACTACACCTAATGAACAAGTATTTGAAACAAGTCCATTCATCCTTTTTTTTATTAAGATGTAGAATACGATTATACATAATACAATTATATGGTCAGATACAAGAGAATATTATTTGTAAGAAGTTTGGGTCCTCAGATTCTTGATTAATCAAATTGAAGTTAATTGATCGATTTTTTTTCTTTTTGCACCAACTTGTATATTTTATAAATATCGTTGCGATTTCACGGCTGAAACATTGCCGTGTGCGGATTTAAATGATTGGTTTTACAGATATTTACCCAAAAACAGTATTCAAAAAATATAATGTACATAGAAGTTTAATTCTTTACATTTAAGACCGGTGTATTTCTTTTAAGGCTCATGAAAAATAGCTGACTTTTATTTACTTCTGGATATTTTGGATTTCTTATGCACACGCGTTTCACTAACCGTTTGTCCCCTGTAGCTGCCCCGTTGCTCAAGTTTCCTCCAGAAGAAAATCGGCAAAGGAGAGAATCTTTCCCCAGAGAGCGCCAGCAGCACGCACGGGTTGCGTGCCCGAGCGGTGTCGAGTTCCTAGAGTCTCGAGCACCAATTTGCGGCTTCTCCTGGGTAGCAGGTTACAGTTGCTCGCCGCGCCGTAAGGAGACCCGGCCGTGCCGCCGCCACCGCCGCCGACCTCCGCTCGCCGCCAGCGCCGCCGCCGCTGCCGCTGCCCCGGGAAACCAGTGCTGCGCCGCCGCGCGTCTCGCGATTTCCCCCGGGCGTCGGGTCCTTCGCGGTTTTCATGCACTTCCTGCCAACAAAAGAATAATTTGCGATTGTCTGAATGATAAGAACACGACTTAAAAGCTTGGCCGACTTGCCATCATCACATTGCTGTAGGTTCTCAACCAAATGAGTTTTTTTTAAGACTGTATCTATTCATTGCACCATCTTGGGGAAATGAATACGTTTCCCCTCGGGGTCATGACTTTCCAGGTTTTTAAGCGTTTCTTGCAACCAAAGGAATAAATCCTGATATTTTATTTACATCTTAAGAGCATGGTTAAAATACATGATCGACTTCCTATCACCACTTTGTCGAAGATCGTGCTCAAACAAATGAAATTTTTAAATGTCTGCATATAGTCATTGCAAAATCGTGGAAAAATATACACGTTTCTCATTGCGGTCGTTATTTTTCTGAATTTTAAGCATTTCTTGCAAACATAATAAAACTCGATTGTTTGTTTGCTTCTCAAGAACACGGCTGGAATGCATGAATTTCTCGCCACCATTCTGCAAAAGATTGGGGTCACACAAACTTGTATAACTGAATCTACTTATAGCACAATGTGAGATAAATTAACACGTTTCCACTTGAAATTTTCTGTCATACAGAAAGTTAAAGGTAAATATCGTGCTGTTGCCATCGCCGTATCAACTTTGTTATTGCATTTCTCCTCTATCGTGTTTTCTTAAGAACTAAAGTACTACAATTTTATATAATTACAATTTTTCATAAATATTATAAAAGTAGTGACTTCCAGCAGGAAAATTTGTCATCTCTTACGCAACATTAAAAAATAAATTAATAATAAATATACATTAAAAATACTAATAAAACAATGGCGTCTTATATCAGCATGTGCACAGTACTGATAGAGTCTTTCCCTCTTCAGATTAATTCGTTCATATTACAAATTAATGATGCACCGGACCGACAACATTACATTGTTCAACTAGTATCACAGTCTTAAAATATGAATGAATATCGTGAAACTATCACTAGAATGTATAATTATATACTACATTTGCACTCCTTGAAATGTGATATTACATTTGATACAGACGTAACACAGTGCAATTAGCATATCAGGTAACATTATGTTTTTTTGCATTTATATCCGATTTTACAAACTGCTGTTTTTTTATTTTTCTAGATCAATCACATGTGCACATTACATTCTGAAAAAAGTTGCTTCAACCACCGAAGTACACTGCAGTGATTTACAGAGAATTCATGCGTCAAAAAACGGAAAAGGAACAGCTTTATCTAGTGGCAATGAAATTAATTTCTGCTAAATAGATTGCTTGCATGTGTATCTTAGATTTTCCTACCCCATAACTAAAACTGCAAAGTTCTTTTTTCTGAGATCTTGTGTTAATAACGCATGCAGTAAGCCATTTCTGCGCCTTTGAGATGACTTGATTCTCACACAATCGTACCATCTTCGTTACCGGAATTATTGTGTATTACTGCTGGTTCTCTTGATGATTTCCGTGCATAGCACGTGTGTTTCAATATCTTCCTATAGCTGTGGTTCACAACTAAGCCCATTTCACTAAAAAATAAAACTTCAATGTTTCAATATAAAATATATTCCATGTTTGTCACTTATCATTTATCATAAACATATAGCAACATTTATCTGTGATTTAAGAAAGTCATGTTTAGTTCGCAAAACGTTCGAACAAGTTCTGGCCGATGATAAGAATTTTGTTCTATTTTTTGTAAATTATTGGTAGTAAAATATTTTTCGCCTTTTGCCACAAAACAAAATTGAAGTCAAAATGTATTTTGTCTTACCATCGTTCTGTACTGCGTAATGACCTAGTGAACAAAATTGTTTCCAATAATTTTCGTGTATTAATATTCAAATGTAGTTATCTGCATGGCCATGAAAACAGGAAATTGCAATCTTTGCTTACTTATTTCACATGATTCAGCATTGATAAAAGCAGTTCGCTGACATTTGCAATTGAAAACAGGAAATTTTTTTTTTATTCTTTCGAGAAAACTACCATTATAATTAAGGTTACACTTTTTGTTACTCATAAATTTGTTTATTTCTTCATAAATGGTTTCAGAATATTTTTAAGATGTTAAAAGGCTCAGCTGTTTTTTTAACTCTTTTCTGGTTTACTTTTATAAAGATAGTTCAAAATCTGTTGATACAAATTACACTACAATAAGCACAATAAATTAAATGAAAGGATGAAAAGTGAAAGTTAATTAATGGAATTTCGTGATACTTTCGATTGAAAAATTGACATATTTTCCTCGGCGGGATTCATCACTTTTAATTTTTGGCTATAGAAAAATCACATTTTTAATCAATACCTATATAATTATTAAAAAAGTAAAGAACGAAGTCCAAAGTGGCATTAGAAAATTTCGCCGAATACTTATTTTATGTTATTTTTCTATTCCACGTAAAACATGCTTTGGATGAAGTTTGTAGTAGTTAATTTCTCGAGACTTGAATACAAGGCCTTCGGAGTGGTACCCGTACTCGATATTAGAATAGGAATGATTATCACTCAATCTGCATTCCAAAGTTTCTGAGAGGCACACGCAATTAGACTTCTTCTCCTTGAATTTAATCTGAAGATTTGAAGTTTTCATAATTGAAACATCAATAACATCGACTTGCCTGTTTTGTTTCGGAACATAACTATATCAGGTCGATTACTGATGACTTCTTTATGTGGCAACTGTTCTGTCCCAGTACGAACAACAAGAACGATTTTTCGCGCATCAAATATGAACTGGTTCGTCTGGGGCGAAGTCTAGTGGATAATTTTCGCTACTGTATCATACCTGTTCCTCACTTGTATCCAGCTAGAGGATTGCCGCGAGATGTAATGTGCTGCATTGATTCAATTTGTTCAACAACGTACCGAAAGTGTTCAACGTTCACACTCGGATATTTAAGTACATATGTTCTGTACTTAAAGGTAAACTGTAATTTGGCTGTAGGTAAAAAAAACAGCTGTAATTTGGGTGGTGAAATTACTTGATCTTGCTTGGCGACCGTGTCCTTGGCTTCCGTGAATCCTTCCGTTTCAGGGAAGGTCTGCCCACGACGCTTCTGTGGTGACATGTGCTTGGCTGATCTCTTTTGAAAGTCTTCCATGTTTGGGCTTTGCTATCCATGCATCAGGTTTTTGCTGGATACAGCGTGGCGTAATGCTTACGTCTGACTGGCATAATTTTAAGGTGCCCTAAGCTCTACAGCGGTGTTTAAGGCTTGCGTTAGTAGTACGTTTACTCTTTGATTCTCCACAATAAAACTCTAGCTATGTAGCATTAGATGGGCAATGCGTATGAGTTAATAGCTTTCGCCGTGTTTCTTGCATTGATATCTGTTTTTAGAACTCTTCTTACTCTCCGGTCAAATTCATTTGTTCTTTCATTACGCTGATTTTTTCAATTAGCATATTTCTTTCCTTTCCCAGATATCGGTATGTTTCTTCAGCTTCATCCCGTATAGTCTGCCACAAGTCTCAACTACAGATACGGTATTTTGAAGCTTTCCTACGACCACACAGATGGGTCGGCATTTGTAAAGTCCAAATTGAAAGTTTATGACATTTGAAAAGCTTTTCCACAGTTTTCAGGAAATATGTGAGCTGTGTCTGTCTTGACTCATAACTCACTGTTGGGTGTTGAAAGTGGCGAGTAAATTGCACAGTAATAATCAAATTTTAAAATAAAATTTTTCTTATAATATCTATTTGATTCCATAATGTGAAACATTGCCTTTTTAATTTCGTTTTCTTTCTTGTGTGACTTGCTTTCAAGTTATCTTATCTATTTCAAATCATCTTATAACCCCATGGTTTCATTGTTGAAGTTCGCAGAAGCTGCAGATTGATCACCTAAAAAGTCTGCAATTTCTTCCCGGGTAGGGTAAAGATTTCCTGCATTCCAGCATTCGTTTTTTTCGAGTTATAGTGGAAACATTATCCCTAGTAGACAATAGTATATTATATTTTCTGTGATTTCTACTTTTTCTCTATCTGGACAGGCGAGCTGTTATTACAGACAGCCTCTGTTTGTCACTGCAGCACAGATTTATATTCGTTAGGTTCAGAGTGTGAGCTACATTGCTTTAAAGTACCTGTCAATTTTTTTAATAGCTTAGGCGACCAAGTACTTTCGATAGAGATGTTTAACCTTGCAATGCCACTCCAAGTTTTTCAATCTTTGTAAACATACGAAGTTTCCATTTTGGTCCCTGAGGTAGCCATCGTGTGATTTCTTGTCTATTTTCACCACTGATTCCTATTGTTTCAGTTATTATTTGTGAATCCAAGTGTGATTCCTAGTTGTTGATATTAATAGTATTATATTATTGTTATTATTATTATTATTATTATTATTATTATTATTATTATAATTATTATTATTATTATTATTATTATTATTATTATCGTTTCAAAGTTCTAATATATTTCTGTTTCAAAGTTAATTGTGTTTTATTTCCGTTAATTGCCTCTCCAAAAAAGGTGTTATAATTTATGCACATACTTAGAAATTGATTGCAAATTGATTTTAAACTATAATCTACATTTTACAAGCATTTCAAAATAAAATCCGAACGTGTGTGTCCATAAGTACTTTATCAAATAGACTAGTTTAAAACTGTGTCTACTAAGCATTATTATTTTAAATCACTTTCCTGTAAACACAATTTTTCTGGTAGATTCATTGTTGTTCAATTTTATTTCATTTGCTATTTTTCTATTTTCCAGATAACCAAATCTTTCTTTTATAAAATTAATTTTGACTTTAAGATCTATAAATGATAACACCCCTCCAAAACTTAAATTGATAAATGTAATGATACCTTCTAGCCTTCTCTAGTGCATTTCCTAATTGTTCCTTCACTTTTATTACTTTCTCAATCTTCTTAAGAACGTTAAGTGAATCTTCAGATTTTAAAAGAAGCTGAGTCAATAGACACTGAAACCGAGGCATACTTGAAGTGTACACATATATGAAGACAACATTCGAGAAATGGAATATATTGTATACCAATTTCCAATGCCCGAAAAAAATGGGAAGAAAACTTTGCAGCCTCCGGGAATGTCGGAGGTGTCTATGGTGTCCTTAGATTCCCAGGAACTCTGGAAATATAAAAAACAATGAAAATTATCTACTCAAGATTTTCCCTAAAAAATAAATATTCGATTGTGTTATTCCGTCTCTTCTCGTATTGCGGGTACCGAATAAATTTTCTTTCTCAGTACGTCACTTCTGACGACTCAGAAAACGGTAAAAGCAAGGTTCTGAGGAAGATGCCTTCTGGCATTATATATTTGCTATTCACTTGCTGCGTTAACTTCTATATTTTCGGTATGTAAAGAAAAGTTGAAGTTTATATATGTATGTACTAATCTATAATATTCTTATACATTCTATAAATCTATTAATATATTTGCTTCATTTAATATGCTATAAATATCAAAGTATACTATTAATAATATACTATAATAACACAATCTCTTTTGAAACTGCAACATGTGAAAATGACAGCTAGATTCACTGGTCTTTCATTTTCGCAGAACTTTCGTAATTCACGAAAATTCATTTCAAAATTCACTTATAAATGTACACATTATTTTCGATGCTATCAATAAATGTTTCTAACATACGAAATAAATCGCAGTATATCTTAAAATGATTCAACATCCTGAATCAGATATCCATAAACTTCTACGGTCTGTGTTTTCATGTTTTCAATATCAAGTTCAACCTCTTAATATTTTATTTCAGAAACATTCTTCCGTAAAGTGTAACTAGGAGAGCACTCAGAAAAGCTTCCATTAATTTTCTATTTACTTGTTTGCAATAATGGAAACCAAAACTACTTAACACGTATTAATAAATTTGGTTTATAATCGAAAGTAATACTAATAATCATAATCAAATAAATATCATTGTCTAAGTATTTCGAATGTTCTTCCTTAAAAATTATAACTTTGTTGTGTAATATTATTCAACACAAATATTTATTCTATATATTTTATAGCGCTCAAATATTTTGAAATAAAGTGATAGATTTTTAAATCGATGAAACAAAAAAATGAGAATAGAAAATATTGCAGGAAAGTATTCATTGTGTATTTAATGTAAGTTGTTGAAAATTGGCAAATCGTATTTCCTTATTAATAGTACAGAAAATGAGTTCGAACAGTTCCCCAGTTTCAAAATCAGCTAAGATTAAAACAAGTTATTGTAAAATCACCTTTTGTAATCTCAAGTGTAACACAGAACGTTTATGTTATAGCCTAAAATGAAGCATGGATATTATTACAAAATTGCTATGGCGGTGAAATTCAAAACTTTGATGCTTTCTCGTAGTTTAAAAATAAGCCAAAACCAGTTTCATTATGTCAGAACCGACTAATTCTATGCATTTCAGTTTAATGTAAAATATGAAACAAAAACACTAATTCTGGTGTATTATGGTTTTCATGTCAACAAATATTAAGAGTAATATTACATGATTATTTTTAGCATTTCAAGATGAAAACATTTATTTTTGAAATCGCCAAAGATGTCTGTTTCGTAACTCAATCCATGCAATCTATTAATAGAAACTCAACTCATCCAATCTATTTATAGAAAAAAATGAGCACTATTTTAATATAAATGTTGAGTCAAGTTCAAATAGAAGTTAAAAATCTTCATTCAATAGTATTAATGATTCCTTCTATTACGGACATCAGATTTGAACACTGGCGAATGAAATATTCATTTATTTTTAACGTATTCCTACATACCGTATCTGGATATTATATTATCCTATCTTCAGATAACACCGTAAATTAAAATACTAAATTTCCACAATTGTCCTAAATATAAACACCCAAATAGTTTTGGACGTGCCTATATTTAAATAAACATTACAATATTTTTCACAATCATTAAACGGTTTGTTATTGACAAGTATCATCACAATCACATCCTCAATGATTGCGCAAGTTGTATCAGTCGATGTAAATATTTTTTTTCATTTCTTCATCCCCGTCATTTCACCAGTAATACTATATGTATATATGGATTGATTCTGTACTCAAGAAAAAGGTATCACTCACTTTGAAAATCCATGGCTAAAATGTATGTAAAATATATACTTTTAATAAATTATTTTATGTAGTGTGCTGCGTCTTCAATCACGTAACATTGTGTGTAAATTTGTTCTAAATCATATAACATTGTATAATATTTTACCAGCATTCATTGTAATATATTCTTAATTTTGCTTGCAGACGAATGTAGTCAATTTATGGTGATAACCATTGTTTGACTTTCTTGCCTATTTCTTGACTATTTGTAATCTATTGTATTGCATATTGTGAAATTCGAAACGTAGCCACAAAGATATTTACGTAATTTCACTTAAATTAATATTCACATGTTGTTCTCAAAATTGCTAATACTACTGAACTAAGCACTGTTTTTCAAATTCGTGGGCAAAATGGAACAGGCGTCTTCTAGTAATAGAAACGATTTAAAGCGTTAAATATAACACCACGCGTAACCCCTAGGATCTGATATATCTGTATATATATGTATAAATATTCAGAATTATTGGTATATTCATATATGGGAGTAAATTATACAACTCATGGTTCATCATAATCAATTGCTGCTTTTCTTGTCGATTTCTTTGTCTCATGTCTTTTTTGCGAACATTGACAATTTTTAATAGATTCTCGTTAAATAACATAAGAAAACGTGTCATAAATAGATAATTTGATGTCCTGGAAGCGCCAACTTGCCAGTTGTCCTAGGCACCTGTGCCTTGGTCACGGCGTCTCTTAAGTAGCTACTGACTCTGGCCGAGGAAGCCAACGCTCTCATGCCATAAATAAGAATTAAATTGATAAATCAGAAGGAACAGTAGCCCACGGCACTATAAAATTACTTAATTTATATTTTCTAAATTTATTTAATGTCAAATAAGTTAAAATGTGTGACGTACTAGCAGAAGTGCAATATGTGCTCTCTTATCGTTTTTAATTTATTATTATTATTAAAAACAACTTCCTTCCGTTTATTCTCTTCAGTTTCGCTACATAATTTTATGTTGCATTGTCACAGGATTTTCGTGTATTGCCAGCCTCTACGTGAATCGTCGATGGTGCTCACGATTTTGCCAGTGATTTGTATCTGCCATGCGAGTATACCATCTTTGAAGAAGAAGAAGAAGAAGAAGAAGAAGAAGAAGATGATGATGATGATGATGATGATGATGATGAATGCTAAAAACACAGACTTAGCAGGTAAGTCATGTTTGTTTCAGTTTTCTGAATTTGGTTTTCTGCCACATAGTAAAAATTAATCAAAAGTATTAAAAAAGTCGGTTAATATACAAAGTTAATATACTGTAATGTGGTTACAATATATATATATATATATATATATATATGTATACATATACATATATATATAGTGAATGAATAATATCGTATATATATATATATATATATATATATATATATATATATATATATATACGATATTATTCATTCACTATTCATATTATTTTTTTATTTAAAGATTTAATGGTCATGTGTGTTACTAATTTTGTATCGTGCAACTCACATACTAGTCACGGGGGGCAAATATCTCCATTTTCTTCTGGTTGCTAATAAACGTTTTCGTATGTTTGTTTGTTTCTTTGTTCTTTTATCGTTGATTACTAAATATTTTAGAATAGGGGAATCAGAGATATAAATTCTATCGATACAATTTTAGACCTGAATATTGACAATCTTTGTGAATTATTGAAATGCTAACTTCCCGAATTTGAGTCTTTTAGCAATTGTTACTATTATCTGAATATGGACTGTAAAAAAAATATTTTTTTTGTATTCAGATGGCTATTGGTCCATGTTTGAATAAATGAGTTTGAGAGAGAATATTGAAAGATCTTAATAAAACATTTTGAAGGCTCACGGATACCTTTAGTATTTGCCCGAGAAAAGCAAACAACAATTTACAAATTTCATATTAAAATATATTCACTCTAATATATATTGATTAACAATTTCGTAAAAAATAATTCATTTAATAGCAACGTATTAGCAGTGAGAAAATATTCACAACTGTCAAGATCATTGATTTATTTGAAAGAAAATTAAAATAAACATCGTCACCAATTATTGAATTTATTGCCATTCATAATAGTCGTCATCTTACAGTTAATACCTACGAATTACACTAACGTTAATTTTTTAATCGAATTTACAAAATATTAGTTTGCTAAATTTTAGTGTTTTTTCTTAGTTAATATTGTACATCTTTATCTGCAATATTTTACTAATCAAATATTCATCTTTGCTCTTATTATCTATGATGTAAATTAACATGGTGCCTGATAATTTAATACCGTTAAAGCGAGTGTAATAAATTAATCGCAATACAAAATATTTCGAATATCACATGACACATATGCTCATGTAATTTTCAATATATTTTTAAAATCATAACACTCTTTGTACTGCACTTGAATTTCGGATTTTAGTTGAAACTATTGTTGATTCACCGGAAGGTAATATTTTTAGGAATGAACTTATTTTTATCAAATTTTCACCCGCTGATGTATTGAATATATTTTATTTACAGGGTTCAAAAATGTTATTGAATTCTTCTTCACTATATTTCTTTTACTCTTTGGTACAAATTTGTGTATAAATTAGTACAAATATGATTCAAATAAACGTAATGATTAAGAAGTTTATTTATGTTTAGATATTTGATTACTAATTGCTTAATTGTTTTTGTTTTCTACTTCATTTGTCTTTTTTCTCGAAAAGCCCTTATGCAATTGCACTTTAGAACTTTTTCTCATTGTTCACATAAGAAAGATATCCATTTCTTCAAAAACGTAATAACCAAACTGAATAAATGCGAACAGAAAGTAATGTTATTTAGCTGCAGGATATTATTTGATTTACTTACTTTTCCTCTTCATATAAACTTCTCAGAAAAGATAAGCGACTTTTCTTCTTCGTTTTCACAAATTATGTATTACCATGTTGTGTTTGTTCACTGATTCTCTCCAGTCTGATTCGGCGTTTGTTCACAAAGGTCCGATGAGCCAATCGAACCGTAGATAGGACCCGTACTTACGGTATTGATGCGCAGCAATTACTTAGATGCTGCCAAGAATTCTCCGATTTGCCTCTCCAGAAGTTGGCCAGAATGAAATGTTTATTCGTGTTCTGTTGAATCCGAATTCTTCTTTCAGGTCCCTTTTCATTCTTCGTGCCTTTTTTCAGTGTGTATCAAATGCAATTTCTGTTTCATTAAATATATATTTCTTGCTTCCTTTCCGATTCAAGAGAATTGCACATGAGGTTTTAAAGCGAATCAAATGCAATTGTATACATATGTCTTCAAAAATAACGGCAGGAACTTGTGGTAGAGTACCATTGAATGTAATGTTAATCTCACGTCTGTCTCCGTATTTTATCCCTAATGCCGTTAGGATTTCCCTTTCGCCATTAGTGAAATTTTTCTTAAAAGCAAAATCGTGTAAGGTCTGGATACCTGAGTTTTCTATCGCTCAATTTATAGAATTTTGGGGAGAGTTCTATTTAAAATATATTGACAAGTTATTCGAATTTACTAATTACTTGTGAATGTTTGTTTTGTCTCTAATTCATTTTCCTGGACTTATGTAGTATTTCTTCAGAGAAAATAAATTTGCATTTCAGAGAAAAGTATGTGCTGTCAATTCCTCACAAAATAGATTAAACGATGGCAAGTTATAAACATACTGAAGTGGTGCTACAACACATACTTTCTCGTGTAATTTGTAATGTTTACACAATATTACAGTACTGCAACTTCTATAGAGGAAATAACACAAACTCGGCCCTCATTTGGTTTTCGCATATTTGTAAAACTAATCTGCTGTACAATTAAATCAAAATATTTGCAATATGAATGATATATTCTACTTCAAATAGTTGGCCACGTAGTTTAAGAATAATATAATTTTTCGTGAACAATACATTTTGAAGATTAAAAAAAAAAGGTTTTCGAATGAGAACCCCTCACAAATGTTTTAAGAATTCAGTAAAAATAATTGAAAAACTGCAAATAGTTTGAACTCAGTATAATTTTACAAAAATACAAGTTTCACATTTTAAACATAATAAATAGTCTTGTCTTGTATATTGTCAATGTATTCAAGTGCGACAAATGTCACATATATAAGCATCTTTTTCCCTCCCCGCACATTCTACACGAGACCAGACTGAACTCATTAGGCTGATTATTCTCCTACAGCTCTCTGAAAATTTTGCAATGCCAAACATGCACTCTGCATTTTCTTCACTATGAGAGGAAAGATATCCCTGGTAGAACATTCAATTATGAAAAGCTAGAGGACGTCAGTTCCTCGTGGGAGCTGACATCTCACTTTTGCTTTTTGTTTAAGTTAAGAGTTTTCTTAAATCTCTATCTTTACGACTTCTCTAGGATTAAATTCTTAAATTGACTCTTACCCTCGTTTTTCTTCCTACCCTTTCGAACTGATGAGCTTCAGAAGAGGCTGTAGCTTTTTATTAGAGTTCCAAGATATAAAGAGAGCCAACTATCATAATTGCATTTATTTTCCAAGACGAAAAATTGGGTCCCGGATAAGTAAACTTTGGGTGGGGGTGGGGGGTTCGCGTTACGGCCCAGCATGTTTGTATTCCAAATGCCAATAACATTTTTACAAGGCAAGTAAAATAAATTACATTACCCTAATAAATATCTCGTAGTGTTTCCTTCAAGATAATGTAATAGTTAAAAGACTCACCGATGAAGTAGCGAAATCAGGCTACTGACAAAAAGCACTTCAAAAAACACTCTTTTCACTGTTCACTGGTCCGGCTGTCTGTCTGGCTACAAGTGAAGGTGAGGACACTACCGCGTGACTGGACTGCGGACTTGCAACTACTGTTTTAGTACGTTTCCAATAGGCAACAGCACTCTACAGGGCTGTATATCAAGAGTTTTATCATTAGGCACCGGGCCCGGATTTGGATACTTTCCTCAACTACTAACATTTCAGCTATCACTGAAAAACTCTTAACAAAACCCAACTCCAGAATTTCGAAAACTGGTGGAAATGTGCAGCATATCGAAATTTTCCCTTCCTTAGTGTTACTAGTGATTACTTACAAACGGCTCATATTTCATAATGCATGACATCATTGATAAAAAACTGAGAAATAAATCACATTGACAAAGAAATATATGAATGTAATATTAGAGAGTAGAACTGTTCGAAAATATATATGAACTTTTGCAATTTTCAATTTCATAGGTTTTAATGAAAATCGGAATAACACAATTCTTATAAATATGGTCTCTGTTATTTCAGCAAAAATTTGAAGACAAAATAGTAGCAATTTTTCAGATAATTTTGAAAATATCACAAGTACTGTCATCAATTAAAAATATTTAATTACCTTCAAAACAGAACAACTAGATCTTACAGATGACGTTTTTACCAATTTTCAGCTTAAAAGTGAACAAATTAACAGAGTGAAGCGTGGCACATGCTTCCATCCATCCGTCCATACAGAGATCACGATTTTCGAATTAAAATTACGAGTATCTTCTTGCCACTTATGCAATTCTAAACCGTCTTGGGTGCAGCACTAATATAACTTAATCCCGACGTGTACGGGAAGTTACAACTCATGATAGCCGTAAACACAGACTTTATGAACAAACATTGACAGTGAAATTGTTGAGGTGATTTGTATACTATTTGTCCTTATACTGCAGCATACGGTGAACGGATAAAAATACAAATCTAGTTCAAAGAAACAAAAATATACTTACTTCACAAGAGTTTTATTCTAAGCGCTTAGCCTGTGGAGTCCGGTGAGTTCGCCACTCTCTATTTAGTACCATGCACACTGAGTACTATAAAATGATACATTGTGAAACCAAACAAAATTCTCATATTTTAACTTACCATTATCTGAAAATTAATTTCTAAAAAAAAATAATATCTTAATGATATATTTATTGAGGAATAGACTACACTACGAAAGAAGTCTCCACCTTGAATCTTATAATTGTATAAGGTCAATACAATTTTGAACTTTGGCAATTTTTGAAATAACGGAGGAGAAAAAATATATAGCTACAATTTGAAGCCTTTTGGAGAAAAATATTTATACCTTTTCCCATATCTCCAATTTCGTTCAAAATTATTTTTTTAATTTTAAGCAACGAAAAGCTTGGTATACGCCTTCTATGCGTACTAGA